CGGATACTAGGGAACCATATGGGAAAGCTAGCTTGATGTCTGGAGATTACGGGAGACTTAAAATAAAGCTCAAAGGTCAAAGGACAAGGTTATAGAATGGAAATAAAACCAGGGAATGAAATGCAATAACTGTGATTCTCTACCTCTCACAGCTCTGATTAAAGAACTCTGCTCTCATGCTGGAGACCCGGAATGGAGAGAGTGAAGCTTCGTCTCTATGACTAAACCCATTTAAAATGGTTGTGTGGGGAGAAGAGCTAACATGGAGCAATGGACTTAGAAAATCTAGAAATTTGGAATTGCCTGAAAGAAATAAAGCAGCTGAAGATAGGAACCTGGGATTAGCTTGGGGTGGAAGGATAAAGGAAGGAGAGACTTTTGCTTGGTATTGTGCTGCCCCTGACTTTTTCTCACTGTCCTTGCCTATATAGCTCACTTGATAAATGCAAGATTTGCTCTTGTGGTAACAGCTCTTATCTCCTTGGCTTGTGTTTTTACCTCCCTCATTCATTATTATCTTTTTCTTTCTTTGCTTTATTCTTTTGATTTTGCAATATTCTTCTTTTTTTCTTTTTTCCATTTTGCATCAAGTTTTGCGTTAATCATTCATTGTAATCTAATCTTCCTTGTTTGTGAGTGTCTTTCTAGCTGGATTTTAAGCTCCTTGAGGGCAGACATTGCCCACAGGTCTAGCACATTCCTATGTCCATAACGAAGTCCCAGTACGTATTTATGGAATGAATGCTAGTGTCCAATGAATGAGGGGAGGAGAAGCAGTAAGCAAACAGTCAGACCAAGACAAAGACTTCTCTCTTCATTATCCATACACATGCAGCTTGTTTTTACTGATGACACTTCATAGAATATCAGGATTGTGCATTGTTTTTTGTTTGTGGGAGATCATGCACCCATTTGACTTTCAGGTTCCATTGTGGATAGAGGGGCACGAGTGGATTCAAAGAATAAAATATAGGAGGAGAAAAGGCTAGATGGTCAAGTCAAAGAGAAATAGCTTACTTTGGCCCATACTATTGAAAAAGCACTGGACCAGGAATTAGAACCCCAAGTTCTAGTCCTCACTCTGCCACTAACATGTGTGATCCTAAGCAAGTTGCCTCACTTTTCTGAGCCTCGGGTTGTCTGTGGTACCACAGAAGTAATAACTTCTAACACCTCACATTCCACAGGAGATCAGCTGGGCTCATAGCTGGAAGGCATTTTGGCCAAAAGAATTTGGGCATTGTCTCCACAAGCAGAGAGGTGGCTCATATCACCAAGCCAGGTAGATCATCTTTCTGCTTTAGGAATCAAACCTGACTGGAATGAAAAGGCGGGAAGGCTGAGTTCATAGAATCACAGATGATTAGAGCCAGCAGGTACCTTAGAGAGTATTCTAGTCCAACCTCCTCATTTTGCGTCTCAGTACACTGAAGGACAGAGAGATGATTTTCCCCAAGTTCTCACTGAACTGAACCTGGATTCCAGGTTCTCTTTTCACTGTGTGCTGGAAGGCTCCACTTAAAAAGAAAAGTTCATTTGCTCTTGTTACTGGTTAGAGGCAAGAAGGCTCTGGCCTGTGTGCCAGCGAAGAAATGATCAGGATATTTGTCTGAAGCTTTTTTAGTTTCTAAAATTTGATGCGCCATTTCAGCTCAATTATTGCTTGCCTTTTACTTGGGGACAACAATCTCTTAGTGATTATTTAGTGCCTTCTATGTGTTTGCCACTCTGCTACGTGCTGTGCATGTGGGGGGGAGGTTAGAAAAGATTAAGACCTATCCCCTGTTCTCAAAGAGCCTAGTGTGGGAGACAGGAATCACAAAGAGAGAACAATGGAAGGCAGTATGTGATTCAGAATAAAATGAGTAGCGCAGGCAATAAATTCTGTAGAAGTTCAGAGGAGGGATAGATCTCTGGGAGCTGGGAGGGGGGAATTAGGGAGAGTGTGATTTTACGTGGGCTTTGAAGGACAGGTAGGATTGTTTATGCAGATGTAGGGGAGGGCACTGAATTTGAGTGTGTGTATTTGTGTGTGCACGCTTCTATTTGTGCACACACAAGCAAATGCAGGGATGCGTAACAACGGGTAGCATTTAGAGAGCATTGTGAACTAAAATAAAATCTTAAGGCTCGCCCCCCACTGGCTGACTGAATGGACCCCCTCTTGGCCAAGGGAAATATCCTAAAACTAAACTGCCTGCCAGGAGGAGAGAGGTTAGACATGCCTCATCATGCCCCCCTTCCTTCTTGGAGATATCCTTTGTAAACCCATTAACAGTCCTTAGGGTAGGAAAGACAAACCTACAGGTCCTTAATTTACACAACAAATGTATGTCCGGTGGCTTGTCTCTGATTAACAGCTACTTATGTTAAAACATTCCAAGCCTTTAGACAAAGCTTCATGTCTTTAATCAATTACAAGTCAAAGAATCTTTAAACCCATCTATAACATGTAAGTCCCCCCGCCCCCCCCTTCGAGATGCCCCACCTTTTTGGGCCAAACCAATGTATGCCTCCTGCGTATTGATTTATGACTTTACCTGTAACCCCTGTCTCTCTGAAATGTATAAAACCAAACTGTAACCCAACCAGAGTCCACAAGCGAGTCCACTTGCTCAAGCCTTCTTGGGCGTGTCTCAGGCATCATCATGGTCCTCAAATTTGGCTCAGAATAAATCCCTTTAAAATTATTTTACAGAATTTGGCTTTTTTCCCGTTAACAGCATTTTCTATACATCAGATACTACATAATGTTCTATAAAATTCAACTGATTTAAATGTGCATAACCCCATGAATTAGATAATAGTATCTTTCAATTAAAATTGATGAGGAAACTGAGGCGCAGAGAGGTTGAGTAAATTGCCCAAGGTGACACAGCAAGTAAATGTCATAAATGGAACTAGAATACAAATCCTGAAAACACTTTGCTATTCTGCCTATGAAAAGGGGGAATTTGTGTCTCAGGTAAGAAAATGGTCTGCCTACAGTTGTTTTGCAAACACAGGGCAAGCTAGGCCAAATTCCCGATTGAAGTTCAGCATGGGAATTGGAGGGATTAATGAAGTCATTTACTGAGTGCTATACCCTCATTCTTACTTCCTTGAAGATAATAACTTGAGGTCTCCTGGATGCCGCATGCCATTGCCAGGGGCTCCACAGCTTTGTCCTTTTAATGTTCCTTAGTTATGTTGCTGGGGATTTAACAAAACACCTAAGGAGAATGAACTCGTGAGCCTCTGAATCAAGTATTGTTTGTTGTTGTTCTTTATTAATTATCAGTTCGAAGAGCATCAGGCCTATGGTAGATGCTGCACAAAGCTTGGAGTTAGACAAGGCTACCTGGCTGTATTTGTTGGGAAAACCAGGCATGGAAAGGATGGAAGGGCAATGGCCTGATAGTACAGTAGATTGTGTTTTATGTTTTGAGCCTGGCTTGCAGCCAACATCCGAAAGTGTTTTCTAGGCAAGGTGCCTAACTGTGTTTTTCTGGATATTCTTCTAACTCATCCTGAGTCTTCAATAAATATTAAATCAACATAAGGTAGATTCTGAGAGGGTCCTTTTCCTGTTGGCTTGTCTCAAGAAAAACAAACACAGTGGATGGGTAAAAAGCAGCAGGTACGAAGAGGGGGCCCTGTTTCAATCAGGGTATTTATCCTGTAGCCAGGTTTGGGGCTTTGACCTGGCCCTCCGCATTCACATTGTCCTGGCAGGCCTCTCCACGTGGAGGTTGGGAAGCAGCTGCTCTCCCGCAGGGAGGGGGGAGGGAAAGAGGTCGGGGAAGCCTCTACGCCTCCCGCTAGCCTAGCACAGAGGTGAGTCAGGAGAAGGAGGAGGAGGGGAGGCAGAGGGAGTGGTAGGGGTGGGCCGTGTGGTCCGACGTAGAGAGGAAAACACCAGACCAGAGCAGGAGGGGGAAGAGCAGGGAAAAGAAGCCTCGCTTCTAGGCACAGCAGTGGGGAGTAGGGCTGTGGCTAGAAAGGTGGGAGAAGACGCCTTTCTGGTCTCGTAGGAGTCTAGCGTTGTGTGGCAGAGAGGAGGAAACGCAAAGAGGAGGCGGCCAAACCCAGCACACACCCCAAAGCCAAGCTGCCCATCACCACACAGGCTTATTCATTCCACCAGAAGTTAGTGAGGGCCGGCTAAGTGCCTACTGTGTGCCCGGTATACCAAGAAGTGCCCTGAAGAACCGAGTCATAGGAGGCGGAGCCAGCGAACAGGGCGAATTCTGTGCAGGGTTGTGAAGGAGGGTGGCGGTGCACGCGTGCAGGCTCCCAGAGTGCAGAAGACGAGGCAGGCCTGGGAGGAGAGGGAGGAAGGAGGCGGAGATTGAGCTGGAGGAGGGAGGAGGAAGGAGAGCAGGAACCAGGGAGGGTGGGAGGTGTGAATGGTGGCCCCGGTGGGGGGAGTGCGGGGCGCAGAAAAGGGAAGGAGGCCTGGAGGGGTAGCAGTGGCCCGAGGGCGTCGGGGGGGCAGAGTCCGAACTGGTGGGGAGGAGGGAGGAGGCGGCGGCGGCGGCGAGGGGGAGGAGAGAGGGAGGGGAAGAAGGAGGAAGCGAGCGCGGTTCCAGCAGGGGGAGGGAGACGGGGAGGAGGAGCCGTGCGCGGCGGCGGCTGCCGCCAGGGAAGCTGAGCGCCGGGGCGCGGGGAGCGCGGGAGCGGAGCGGTCGCCAGAGCCGGGGCTGCGGGCCAAGCCGCCGGTGAGTGGAGCCCCGAGGGGCGCAGCGGCCAGTCCCGGGGGCCAGGCGGGAGGCGCGGGAAGATGCGGCGCCGGGGCGGAGGGAGGGGGCCGGCCGTAGCCCAGCCCCCGGCTGGCCCGGCCTCCCGCCCTCTCTCCAGCTTCCTCCCGCCGCTGCCTGCGCGAGGGGGGCAGGTCCCGGGCGGGCCGCGGGCTGGGGGTGGTGCTGCCCGGAGGGCGGGCGTGTGGGGCCAGAGGGTGGAGCTGGGGGCTCGTGGGTGTACCCGGGGGCGGGAGGCTGGACCGGGACGGCTCTAAATTGGCTGGAGGGGCCGTCGGCGGCGAAGTTGCTAGCTGGGGGCAGAGAAGGCCACGCGGTTGCAGGAGTAAGAGATCCCCCAGTGGCGAGTGCGTGAGACGAGGAGTCCGGCGTCCCTGCCATCCCCGTCGCCCTCCCCGCCTGCCCGGCCCCGCTAGCTCCTCTCCTAGCCTCCGCGTGTCCCCTCGCTCTCACCCCCTTTGCCCCCGGTTTGCTGCCGCGGCACTGCCGGGTCCCCTCGGCCCCCGCCCTGACCCTCTCGGCCTCCGGCTTCCCCTGACCCCTGCTTGCTTCGCCGCTGCCCCCGTTCCCCTTTTCTTCCCTCGCTAGTTACCCCCGCCCGCTTCCTAATTCCCGATGCAATTGCCTCTTTGAGACCTTTTTTTTTTTCCTCTCCTTCCTTTTAGATTGGCCAACGGCTCCTTTCAACCCTGCCTCGTTGGTGGCCACTGGAGAAGCGCGGGGGGCTCCCCAGACAGCCGTGGGGACAAGTTAGAACCAGCACTTTACCCCGGGCCTCGCGTGTAGCTTCCCCTCCCCTGCTCTAGGTGCCCGGGTGTCTGGAGGGGGGTGTGGGGGTGTGCCCTCCTTACATGGTCCACCACCCGGGCAACCTTCTGGGCTCGTGTTCCATCTTGCTCTTGCTTCCGGCACTGTGGTCAAGGGGAACCACTTTGCATCATGTCCCGGTATAGCTACCAAAGTCTCCTGGACTGGCTCTATGGGGGCGTGGACCCCAGTTTTGCAGGCAATGGGGGCCCCGACTGTGCTGCCTTCCTCTCTTGGCAGCAGCGGCTGCTGGAAAGTGTGGTGGTCCTGACCCTGGCCCTGTTGGAGATCCTGGTGGCCCTGCGGCACATCCTGAGGCAGACGAAGGAGGACGGTAGGGGTGGCCGTGGCAGCCAGCCAGAGCAGGTGACCCAGCGGCCAGAGGAAGGCAAGGAGAGCCTGAGCAAGAATCTGCTCTTAGTAGCCCTGTGCCTGACCTTCGGGGTGGAGGTGGGCTTTAAGTTCGCCACCAGGACCGTCATCTACCTGCTCAACCCTTGTCACCTGGTCACCATGATGCATGTGAGTCTGTTGACATTTTCCTGGGCAGCCTAAGTGATAAGAGTGATTTGTGTGCTCAGGACACTCAGTAGTGTACAGCACCTCATCCTTGCGGGAAGTGGGACCCTTAAAAATGATTTTTCAATGAGTGGCTGCCTTTGTGCCAATTTCAGATTTGGCTGTCTTTCACCTGGGCACAATGTGTCAGCCCCACAGTGGAGGTGAGGAACTGTGTACCTGAACCCTAGGAACGACTGGCACTCACTCCTGCTGCCCTTCCCCTCCCAGCCCTGCCTTGCCCTGCCCTGCCCTGCCCTGGCCTTTCGTAAGCAGGAAGTCCAGCCCCAGCCAGTTGCCCTTTCCACATCACATCTGTAGACCATGGTCCAGTCCCCTTGCCTTCTGTGGTAGTTAATTTCCCAGGGGCCTGGTGACACTCTTTCCTGGAGGTGGTCACATAAGCCTCCTCACCTACACTATGGTACTTTGGGGAAATACTTTTATAGGTTTCTCTTAATGACGCTTTCATTTGGGAGTTTATGCTCTTTGAGTGAGGTCTGCCTTTGAATTCTGAGGCGTTGGAGCAGCACCAAACTCCTACTAAGTGCGCTCTGAAACAGGCTCCGGGCTGACTCGTGAACTCTGGTCATTTCAGTCTGTGGTGAGAGGGTATTTATTGTTTGCAAACCTCTCCATCTTATCACTCCCATTCTGTCTCCTGTGCTCATGGTCTAGGGGTACTCAAGGAGCTGATTTCTTTACCTCCCCACCTTCCACCCATTAGTGGTGCTAAGGAAAACAAATGGGATTGAAAAGGAAAGTTGCCAGGTACATAAAAATAATCTGGGTGAGGACCAAGAGTGAGACTGTCTTTCTCTACTCAGCCTGTGTGGAGAGATGTTCTAAAGCTATAAAATCATAGAGGAGGAGGAAGAGGAGAGGGGGAAAGCATTGAGTCTTTTTTAGATTTCAGGCTGTGGAAAACCTGGTGTGTTTTATTCAGGGGCAGTTTTGAAACCTGTCATTAGCATCTTTATTGCTTTTATGTTGGAGGAAGGTTATTCTCAGGAGACTTGTGACAAGCCTGCTTGGGGCAGTAGGTTGAGATTATTATCTCTGTTTTACAGGCCTGGTGGGGTTTAGGGATGGGAGGTCACTTGCCTGTAGCCAAAAGATGAATTAGCATCTGGGTTGGGAAGCAAGCCCATCCTCCCTGGGGTTGCAAGCTGTCAATCCCTCAGGAGTGGCAGCAAGTGGTGGTGCAGTCCCTTGGGAAGGCCAAGGCAGATGAGCACAGTACTGTCTACTCGAGGCTTGGATACTTGCTAGTTCCTAGGAACTCATTTGATTGCAGGCTCCTGGCCTTAGTTTCCCAATCTGTAAAATGTGGCAAATCACCTCTGGCCCCTTCCCTTCTTGCAGATATGGCAAGGAGGTGTGGATAGTTTTGAAATAAAGAGGCTGTTTTCAATTGGGTGGCTGTAAGCATCAAGCAGGGGCTGGAGTGGGTAGCGTTTTTTAAGAGAGGTCTTCTTGGGAAGTGATGCCATTCACAGAAGTCCAGGGCTGTCCCAGCTAGACCTTCTGTGTAAATTTGAGCCAGTCTTCTTTCTTTCTTTTTTATGAATGGACTTTTTGTTAATGAGAGGAAACAACGCATCTCAGCCGCTGCTGTGTGAGGCTCTTGGGATAGGAGTGCTTTTTTAGGATGGCAGGTGGTGAGGGTCAGAGGGTGCCTCTTCTGCAAAGGGGTCTTGAGGCCTCTTGCAACCACATATCTAGAAGGTCACCAAAAGACTAAATTCAGCCTGACTGGGGCTGCCGCTGGTGTGATGATGTCAAACCTGGCAGAACCATGGTTTTTAGAGGAAAGACTTTTAGAGGCTTTTAGAAGACGCAGGGGACCTAGTTCTGGCATTAATTACTTGTGTGACTTTGGGGAAAGTACTCTTCCTGGGTCTCAGTTTGCCCATCTGTAAATGAGGCAGAGTTGCATTGCACTCCTTGTTCTTGACAGTCAATGTTCTGTGATCCTTTTCTCTGTAAGTAGTAGATGGGGATGCAACAGGGAGCCATTCTGAAATGCTTGTGACCCCTTGTGCGGAAAAAGGAAGCTATTAATAGTTTCTGCGACGCAGAGGTCAAGTGGCCAGTCCCCATTCTTCTTTTGCTCCCTGTATCTCCCCAGTAAAGCTTAGTCAAGTAAACTTGACCAGGCCACTCTTGGAGACACATGCAGAGGATGATGGCACTGAGGGGAGAGATGGATGTTTGAGGGACTATGGACTGATTCCTGTCACCCGTGCTTTTTCTACTGTCTTATGTTTAGCGAAGCCCTGAAGCTGTAGCGTAGAGGCAAAGAACAGAGCCACGCTGAGGAATTCTTGAGACTTACCTGAATTACAGTCCTTTGCCTTTTACCCCTAAGTCACCGTTTTGTATTATTTAAGTAGTAACCCCTGGCCTGCCGGGAGAACTGGCCTTTGATGACTCCAACTTTCTATACCCTCCATATGGCTCTTCTTGGGAAGCAGGAATGTATGGATTTTTAAAAGTTGATGTATTGAGTCCTAAAAAAAAAATTAACAGCAGATGGTTGGAAACAATTTTCTGACTTGGTTGCAGCAGTGACTAATGATAGTTCGTATAACCATAATACCTTACATTTATCTAGCACTGAGTGTTTATAAGGCACTTTCATATGCATTATCATATTTAGAGTTGTGATAGATTAGCTCAGGCCTGGAGAATGATGTTAAAATGTTTCCTGTAACTGTGCATATTCCAAAGGGGAGATACTGTGTACAAAGAAATGCTTTGGCAAGTGAAGTAGCTGAATTAGGCTATATTATAGCCATAAATTCTGTGGAATTTATAAGTACTAATAAGGAAAGGGAGATGTTAGTTGAAGCGAAAGGGGTAGCTTAGCAGAGACATTTCTGATGTGTGTCTCGCAACAGGATGACTCAATTTTGTCTTCATAGAAAGGCCTTCTTCCTCAGGCAGTCAGTGTAAGTTTGTCTATAATGAGGGTGTTATTGCTTGAAGCCGGAAGTGGAGGAGTTAGAGGGAAATTGGTTAGTCTCCCCATCTCCCATTTTTCAGTCTGCAAAACATTCATTCTCAAGTTCTTACGTAGACCCTCGTCATCGTCATGCTGCCTTTGGGTAACTACCAACTTTAGTAGCATAAGGAAGGGCAGTACTTGTGTCTGAGTTCTGTTCCTGATTAATATTCCTGCCATTGGGTTTCTTTTTGGTCTTGTCTGATTTCTCAAAGGCCCTGGGACCGTAGATTGATATAGGCATGTATAGGTAGCACCATCTCATAGATAAGCTCAAGCCGGAGATGTTTGAGGGCTGTCAAGATCAGCAAGCACCAAAGTTAACAAACCACTATTAAACCCTTCGCTAAATATCAATGGTGTCTACCAGTTATACCAGTAGTAAGTATTTCTTCAAGCATGGCCAGTCTTTTGCATATGATCTTGGCAGGTATGGGTGACAGGGAATGAAGTTACTGAGTGATTGTGCTGCATACCAAAAATCACCCAGCAAGTTAGTGGCAGAGGTGACTGAGCTGCCAACAGTGGGAATCTGGGTTTAACAGGAAGAGATTCTTATAGCCATTTATGTCTTAAAATCCTGCAGTTTCTAAATCTTAGCAGATGCGTTAAAATGCCACAACAGTCTGACCGATTGTGTTTGTAAAGACTGGTGGTCTTAACTTAGTGGCCTGTTATCTTCCTTGAGTACAGTTATGTTTTTTTTTAATATATAAAAGTAAAAAAGTTTATCCTTTAGAAGGACAGAGAGAATGCGAGAGAGAGAGAAAGAAGGGGGGGTGGGCGAGAAGAGAGCAGGGAGATGGAGTGGCATCCGAAAGAGAGAGAAGGGAGATACCAGCCCAGTTATGTTGTTTTTGTCTTAGAAATTTAACAAAAAGATCCCATTTTGGATGTACTGTTTAATTGTCCAATTCCTGTTGGTGCTGTATGTGCTCGTGCCAACATCTGATTAGACACTGAACTTAGTAGGGCGCAACATACGCCGTTTAACCCTCGATGTCAATGTGCACAAGGCAGGCTGTATCCAGCCAGGCTGGACACTTGGCAACTAATAATTGGTGCTATCAACCCCTTAGCCCCAAGCCATTGGTTTTGAGCCAGTAACACTGAGACCCATCCTTTTTTAGAGTTGCCGCTGCTATTTGATTTTGTAGTCTTTACAATATAGTAGACATCTGATTTCCACCAAATATAGCTTACCTCCTTTTGGTGCAGTGATTTTCTTACTTCCTTCCTCCTTGTTAAAAGTGTAGAATGGCTATACTCAAAAAGTCCTGAGCTTTTGGCGACACCCTTTGCAACTTGCTGAATACACACTGGTGTGTTCCAGTTGCTATGTGATGGATTTGTTTTAGAGGAAACCTGATGGATTTGAGGAACTTGGCTTTCTGTTTTCCCCCTTGACTTCAGACCAGACACACCTCCTCATTCCCCATCTGTTGTCTGGAGCACTGATTACTGTTCTTGCTTGGAATTGACGTCGGTGGGTAATGGGTACAATGAGGGATCCAGCCATCTGCTGACAGCTTATCAGATGGATTGTGTCCTGTGCCATCATTCCAGGGGGACACACAGGGATGATGTTTATATGGGCCTCGGCAGTGAGGCATGACGTTCCTTTTTAGTTTATTTCTCCCCCCAAGGAAATTTGCAGAAAAATTTTCCATCTTTCATTGTTATGGTCTTTGGAGGGTATTTATTAAAAAGAGAGGTGGTGTGGATTGGTGGATTAAACAGCCCCCAGACAGCCCTGGGATTTAAAATTATGATTCTAGTTTTGTTCATGGCTCACTATGGGAACCTGAGCAAATTATTTAACCTTTTCCTATCTCAGTCTTCGTCATGAAATGGGCCATGTGGAAATGAAGCATTTTAATCCTCTGAATAACTGTGTGGTCTCTTAATGAGAAGCTGAGCAAAGCTAATCAAAGCTAGCAGATGACCAATGTAGTTT